AGCTTTGGATTTTGATGAGGATCCATTTTTTGGTAGAGGAAAAGATGATTGTGATGGCACTGGTGATCCACATGTCAACCTTGTATGACCACTCTCCTTGCACCGACTACATGTCGATATCCTCTTCTCTTCACCCTTAGACGGTATACGATCGTGATTTTTTGGTCGGCCAAGTAGCCTGCTGTCCATGACTGGTGGCAAAACTCTTTGTAAGTCATTTGGTATGTCCCACTCAGAAGGATATGGACATGGGTAGACAATCTCGACATAAGTCTGTCGATATACTTCTGTAGTGTAGCAATCCATAGCGTATGCGCTTGAATCATCTTGGTTTAGATGAATAGCAACTTTTATAATATGGTCACACGGATAACCAGATGTTTGCCGTTTCTTACAACTACACGTCTTTGCATTTAGATCGACAAGCCCATTTAAATTATTATCCAATACTTCAAAAAATGTGTTTGAACATGGTTCAACTCTCCAGGACGTTGACTTCACAACACGTTTCGTTATCTTTTTTTCAGTCCATGGTGTAATACGACGTTCCAATGTTCTTGTAAATTTAAATAAATAATACTTAGTCAAATATATGATAAGTTACGAATTTAAAGAAATAATACCTACATGGTTTCTTTTCTTGTAGTACCATTGTTGAATAGAGGCTCGAAAAAACTCCATTAACATAGTAATGGGTAATTTCCGGGAATGACGACTTAGAGCATTGATTGATTCTGCACTATTAGATGTCATGAAACCATATCTTGCTCCAAGTTGATGTACTCTTGACCATCTTTCAAACCCGACATCTTTTAGTGTTTGAGCACATTGAGGTAAAAAACGTCTTAAACAATTTATATGCTTATTAAAATCCACTTTCCGATATACTTTTACAGCCTTCCAGTATGTCCATTTGTGATTTTTTATACCAGCAGACCTTGATTTTAGATTTATGTACAAATGAACACCACAAAGTCCATGAAAAGCATTTGGGAAACACCTTCTAACAACGTTCTCAATTGAGTTTGCCCTATCGAATATGATTTTCAGATTGTTAATAGGACCTATGCAATCCCTAAGATACCCCATAAACCATGTCCATGAATCAGAGGTTTCAGATTTGCCAACCCCGTAAGCTATTGGCAGTATCCCATTGTTAGCATCCATGGCTACTGCTAATAAGTTTACTCCAAGGTATCGACCTTTCAAATATGATCCATCAACTATAATAACTGGTGCATGCAAGTAATAAACGAACGAATCTACAAAATCATATACACAAGAAATATAATCATTTACAATGCATGCAACTAACAAAAATGAGTCAACAAAATTATAATTATTTACTAACCGAAACACCAATGGCGATAAACAGCAACTCAAAGCGTCCATCTCTATCTGTTTTGATATGAGTTACCGACCCAGGATTTTTCAGCTTTAAATTGTGACAATAAGCCGGCAGTTGGGCAAACGATGCTTCTGGCGACCCCCTCAACAATTCCAATGCATAACATTTGGCTCTCCAAGCTTGAGAATATGAGATACTAATCTTGAATCGAGCATTCATGTCAGTCATAATTTCATGTCCCAGATATATCATTCCATTCAAAAACATTAACTCAACCAGAAAACCACCCAATACCTTTTTGTTTGCTTGTCTATGGTAAGGAAAACTTGGGTTCTTGAACATGTATGTTTATCAATAAAAGTCCTAACTTGAAACATTTCGCAATCTTTTATCCTCTTAGCAATCATACGCCACGTACAGTTTTTGTCAATCATACACCTTGTTTCGAAATGATCTTTGCTTGATTTGTTAACTCTTAGTTGATAGCCATCTTCCACACATTTCGTATACAAAGCTATCTTCAAGTCTTCCTTTGTATCAAAACAATCATCTTTCTTGATACGAATAACTTTTGTGTAACAATCAACTGATATCTTTACCAACTCTTCTTCCGGTATCTGAAGTAATTCTGCCATATTCCAGTTATACTCCCGTTACATTTTCTTCTTTTTCCTTTCTTCAGGGACTTCTTCTTCTTCAGGGTTATATGAATTACAGAATGGATGTTCAACATGTTCATTCACAGTCGTAACTTCCTCCTCATTATCATCAACAACATCTTCCTCGGCAGCGGCTGTTTCATCATCAAAATTTAGATTTTGACCAATATCAAAATCATTACATGCAGGGTCTGTTTCTTCTTCCATCACATCATCAAAATCCGAGTATTGATCAAGATCAAAGTATGGGTATTGACCAAGATCAAATTTTGAATACTGACTAGTACTCACAATTGTTTCTGTTGGCTCATAATCGTCTAACTGGTCAATAAGAAAACCGGAATTTGGTGCTAAAAGTTGATTGGGATTTGGATTAGGAAAAGGTTGTGGGTTTTGAGATTGTGTTTGGTATAGGAAATGTGGTGAAACAAAATTTGCTTGGTGATGAAATTGAGGTGGAACCATTAAATTTTGGGTTGAAGAACTTAGTTGATTACTACCCGCTACTGACCCAACTTCACTACTTCTAGGTTCAACAATATATAATGTAACATCATCTTCTTGCGAAACACTAATGTCAGCAATGAATCGTTCAACATCTTCATTGTCGGTTAACAAATAAACTTTACCTTTTCTCAGATAAGATAGGCTAAATCCACTTAGAGGCTCTAAATTCAATTTCTTTTCAACACGTAACATTAGAGTTTCATAAGTTAACTTTTTTAATGACAGTTTTAGTTGAAGATTCATGGGTAAAGACACATATTGTAAAACACCATGAACATTCTCCCATGACCCTCCAAAACACAAATCTATCCAAACATGATCAACATTAGATGATTTCATTCTAAAAATTGTAAATTAATTTACTAAACAAACGAGCTATAAACTAGATATCATCACTAACTTAGAGAAAAATATACCTTTATTAAGTTGATAGTTGATAATTTGGGAGAGAAATCATTGAAAAATTATATATAAATAAAATTATGTAAAAAAAATAGAGATGGGGAAGAATGTCGTTGGATATAGGAACGGATGTCGTTTGATATAGGAACGGATGTAGCCGGAGAGAGTGATAGATGGAGATGGAATGAGTTGCGATTTAGGGATTTAGGTTATGAGTTGCTGCTGCTGCGTTGTTATATACCCAAAAATTTTGTGTTGCGAAACTAAAACTTGTTGCGAAATTAAATTCGCGTTGCGAAATTAAATTCGCGTTGCGAATTTGAAATTCAGTTGCGAATTTGAAATTCAGTTGCGAATTTGACTTTCGCGTTGAGAATTTGACTATCGCGTTGCGAATTTGGAATATCGCAACGTGAATTTGGAAAATCGCAACGCGATTTACATATTTGTGTTGCGAAATTGGAAACTGGGTTGCGAAATTAGAATTCGCGTTGCGAATTTGAGATTGCGTTGCGAATTTGTTGGTCATTTTGGAAAATCTAAAAAAAGTTGGTTAAATTCGTATATTATAAGGCATTTTTGGTCACTGAGGTTATTTTCTCTTTTAATAATTATAATTACTAGTAATTGTAATCAATACAACAATTAGTTGATTTAGTTGGACGAGACACTAGATTCCTTAAGCAAAGTCAGGTGTTCGAATCCTGACGTTTGTGAATGGAGCAAATTGGGTTGAGAGAGTCACCCTGTCCTCTGGAGTACTCTATCTGAATTAGTCAGTCAATAGATCAGATACTATTGATTAATTCAAAAAATTGTAATTAGTAATTATACACTAATATTCAAACCCACCATAAAAATAATTTTGATATATTTTATAACAGGACTAATATATATAGAATTTACATGTAAATTAAAAAAATTTATATATTTTAATTTCTAATTATAAACGTACACAAACAAGTATACTTAAATTTAGTGACATTCTTATTGTATTCAGGACAAAACTTATATACTTTGAAAATTATATTTTTTTCGATTAATTATTTTATTAATATATGTATCTTAAAATTTTATTTATATTTACGTACAAATATTTCTAAATCTTAAATTACCAAAGTATACTCGGAGAGGGCAAAACAGGCTGTTTTATGTTGTTGTTGTCGTCTTGTGGTGGCTTTTCTTTTTCTTTAACCATAATTTATTTGGGAATTCATTTAATATATAATTTATAGACATCAACAAAGCTGAAAAGTCTATAGTCAACAACAAATTTGCAATATCATCCCATTACCTTACCCTCTTTCTTTGAATACTTTCCATTTTGGAAACTATTTCTTTAACCTTTTAACATGATAATAATAATAATAATAATAATAATAATAATAATAATAGGTTTTCTCTTATCAATTAAAAACGTCAATTAATCCGAAAGTATAATAAATAATTGGGTAAATTACATATTTAGTATCTCAACTATCACTTTTATTCTGTTTTGGTCACCAACTATTTTTTTAAAAATTCATACATAATATTTAATTTTAGTCATTAACCGTTAAAAATTAACAAACTTCTCATGCGATAATTCTGGTTGTTTTTTAATGATGATATGACGTCATCTTAAATTAATAAATTATATAAATTTATAATTATTGTACAATTTAAATCTAGTTATTAATTGTAAATTTCACGTCAATATTTCTGTTGCAAAGATGGCCACGCCCGATTCATTCCAAATTTCTGTCCTCAATACGCCTCTATCACATCTACAAGAACTCTTATCTAGGGATGCTTTTGGTCCCCGTACTGCAGACTAGTCACTGTTTAATTTTGGCCTTGGCCTTCCTTTTGATTAAAAATAATAATAATAATCAGTGACTTCATTGAAATGATTTTAATAATTTAATGGATTAATTGATAAAATTTATAATTCAATAGTCAACATAGAACTACCCCTATAGTTTAGTGACTATGCAGGTAGTTTACCCTAAAATTAAATAAATGCTAAAGGAAGCTCAACATGTCTTTTCACTTTGTATCATGTTAATGTACATACATCACATACAATACCTACAAACATAAAACACAGTTCTCTATTTCTCTCTCTTTTTCCCTTCTATCTTCCTTCGCATTTTTGCTTCTTCTTTTCACAGCCATTTACTAGATTCCTCTAATTACCCATTTCCTTTATTTCCCCCCCTCATTGGATTGTACAAAGTCCCAGCTCAAATACCCATCTCTAAATATTTTTATTTTCTTCTTTATTTTTTGGCTTTTTTGTTGCTTTTCCCCTTAATTATGTTCTATGGGCTGATAAAAAAGATAACAAAACTCTTCTGGGTAGTTTTCATTATTTAGCTTTTGCTTTGTTCTGCAAACTAAACTACCTTTCTGTTTTTTTTTTGTTCTTGTTGTTGCAGAGAAGCCTTTAATGCCCTGTTGAATATGTCATATAGAGCTTGAAGAAACCAATCAAACAAAAAAGTTTTCAATTTTTAGTCAAAGTTTTTATCAATAATTTTTTTCTTCTCTTTGTTGTTTGTAAATTGTGTTCTGTGATTTATTTTTCTTCCCTTTAGCCAAAGAGAAAGACATGGGCAAGCAAGGACCTTGCAATCACTGTGGAGTTACAAGTGAGTTATTGTTTCTCCAGTTAAATATAAAGTTTTAAGAAAAATGAAAAAAAAAACATTTTTGAGACCTTGGGTATAAGTAATTGTTCAATTCCCCTCCCCCTTAAAATTTGTTCTATGTGATTTATATGCTTAGATGGATTATGATTCCATGGGAATAACAGTGAGCAGAAAAGAACCAGATTACATGGACAATGATAATAGATTTTACAAATTATGCAGTTCTTTGAGTTGTACTGTTTGTATATGGATTTAGAACAACAAATATCCTTTTTCTCGATCCATGTAAAGCCTAGAACTTGAGTTTGTAATTGAATTTAATGGTTTCTTTCTACCTCATTCATTTTCTTTTCTTTTTATCTCTTGGGGTTGGTCTGTTTGACTCTGGTTTTCCAACATTTCTCACAAAGTGAGATTGAATTCTATTGGATGCTGGGGAATTGCAGAGCCTATGTCATTGAATTATGGCAGGTTTCGTATTCAACATTAAATCGGAATTGCTTTCCCATTGCTCCATAGATGTCTATAAGCCTAAATATCAAGCCATTCAATTCATAGAAATGTATGTCCTTGTAGCATCATTGTTTGACTCCTTTATAGGTGCACTTTCCATTCCGGTCTTGATAGATTTCGTGCTCATTTTCTAGTCTCATAAATAAGCCGTTGTTTTAAATTCCAATGCTGTTGAGCTGGTACTCACATGCTTGCTCTAAACCGGCTTTTGGTCTTTGTTGATAAGAATTGTCAATCAATGTGAGCCACTTTGCAGGGCTGCACTCATATCCATTTTAAATAATTGTTTTACACTTTTTCTGTTATCGGTAGCATTCAATTCTATTTTCAAGTTCATTGTTTTGCCTCTTAGGCCATTAAACACTTCACCACAAAAGTGTCATTGCAGTTAAACATTCTGAATGACTTCCAGCTGAAAATTTATTGCACCACTCTTAAAATTAGAATGGTTTTATATTCGTGGAAGATGGTGTTTCTGCACCAATTAGTGCAACTCAAGTTATTTCATCTGTATTCTTTTTCTGGTCATTGATATGAGTTTTATTTTTAAATGTGTCAGAGTACAAGTGTTAATGGAAGCTTTGGTGTACTTGTTTGCCTTGGTTGAGGCAAGGGCATCAACCCTGAGTTTGTTTTAGGGTAAAGATATATTGTATTGACCATAATTTGAAGAAGATTTATCTGATGCCGCATTTGTCTTTGAATTTATCCAATAAAATACTAATCCTATCGTTGCACTCTTTTTCTCCTTTCGAGTTTTGCCCCTATAGCATTTCTATAAAATTTGGCTCATGGCTCTTGCCATACTCATAGCACGGTTTTGGTATCTCCTTATCTTTAAATAGTATTATACTTACTATCGACATTGCATTGTGATAGGCACTCCTTTATGGCGCAATGGACCTCCTGAGAAGCCAGTATTGTGCAATGCATGTGGGTCGCGGTGGAGGACTAAAGGGACCCTTGCAGACTATACCCCACTTCATTCTCGGGTTGAACCTGATGATTATCAAGATCATAGGACTTCCAGAATGAAGAGCATATCTATAAATAAGAAAAAGGAAATCAAACTGCTGAAAAGAAAACCAAATCATGAGACAGCAGTTGCCGCCCCTGATTACAACCAGGGTTTCTGTAGGTTTGTGGATGAAGATACTAGTTATAGATCGAGTTCTGGATCCGCAATATCTAATTCTGAAAACTATGCCCAGTTTGGCAGCGCAGATGCAAGTGACTTCACAGGTTGAACACATTGCCATCGGTGTTCCTCATTGCTGTTTTGACTTCTTGAGAGTGATTTACTTGTTTAGTCCATCTTGTGAACTTACGAGAGATTCACGAGTGTCGTGCTTGGCATTAGGGGTGTAAAAGAGCCGAGTCGAGCTCGAGTATTGCTGAGCTCGACTCGACTCGAAAACTCTCAAATGGAGCAAAACTCGACACGAAAACTCGCGAGTTTAAAATTTTTAAGCTCGACTCGAACTCGAAATCCTGAACTGAAGCTCATGAGCAGCTCGAAAAGACTCGAAATGAAGGGGAAAAAATTCTTAAACTTAATAAGATTGAAGCCTCAAACTCGAACATGAACGTTAAATACATGTAAGCCTTACTGTATTTAAAAAAACAACATATAAATATTAATATTATTAATAATTTATTTAAAAAAAATAAAATCTTAATATATTATATTTTCGAGCTACTCACGAGCTTTTCGAGTCGAGTATCAAGAAGCTCGTTTCGGTTTATTAAGAATTCGAGTTGAGCTCGAGTCGAGTCCATTTGATCCGAGTATTTATCGAGCCTTGACCGAGTCGATCTCGAGTAGCTCGCGATATGTCTCGTCTCATTTACAGTCGTACTTGGCATAAACGAAAACGGTTGTATATCTTCCTAGAAATATAACCATTACAATTTACATTGTCAGGTTGATCTTGGCAGATATTGATGGCTTCATTGCATGTTTTTACTTTTATAATGACGTGAAATACATTTAAATCATATTCTCTTTCATCTTTTTCCAGGGTCTGCTCGATCTAACGTGCGGAAGTCAATGGTGCCTTCTATGGAAAGGACCTTCTTAAATCGTCCTAAGCAATCTTCAGTTGAGAAACTGACAAAAGATTTGTATACTATTTTACATGAACAACAGTCTTCATATTTCTCTGGATCATCTGAGGAGGATTTACTTTTTGAGAGTGAAACACCCATGGTTTCTGTTGAGATTGGACACGGAAGCATTCTAATTAGACATCCTAGCTCAATAGCTCGAGATGAGGAATCTGAAGCTAGCTCACTTTCAGTTGAAAACAAACAATATTCAGTGAATGAGGCGTATTCATATTCCTCAAATTTCTCTGCATACAATGATATCAAGGCCGTGAAACTTTTAGGACGTGCAATCGAAAAGGCTAAGAATCCAGCTGGACCTGGAATGCAGCACGAGCAATTTAAGAGGTAAATCTTTTCGCCATAATATTTTACAAATTGCAATATAGTCTGCAAATAATATCTTTGGCTCCGCAGTTCCTCGGGAAGACTTTTTAGAATAGTTTCTTCATGGTTCATGAATCATGGGACGTAAGTTAAGCTTATAGCTTTTTTGGAATGGGAGGAGAAATTGGATAATAGTGCCTTCATTTTGATAAATTTTTCCTTTTTCTTTTTGGTGTTTCGGCAGGGACAAGGCTCAACATGAAAAATCACTAATGCTGGAAAGTCATAAGTCACCACTGTGTAACATAGATTTAAATGTAAGTTCCCCTGTTTCATTTTTCTTGTATTTGTTTTTCTTGGAAACAGCTTTTTTTTTTTGATAGGAATAGGATGCCTCATCAAAAACCTCCCTCATAGTGGTCCTCTGCCCTAAGGTAGGACCAACTAGCGGAAGGAGGAAAAGAGTGCATCAATTTATTGATAATCAACCAGATACATAAGGCTTAAAAACAGTCTTGCAAACTACATAAAACTTAAAAACAGTCCTGAGGGTACTTTGCTCTTAAGGCTTACACAACTGCCTAAGCAAGGACAAAAATTACCCAATTCCTTCCTTTGCTAACTTATCGGCCTCACAGTTACACCATCTAGGAATCCACCTAACAAGAGCCTGAATAGCAGAAACAATAGACACAATTTCCTTGACAAAGTTTGACAGAAAAGCAGGTGCAAGAGCTTGGTCTTTAATCCAATCCACTGCTATCTTTGAATCGCTTTCAATAATTAGTCTGCCCTTCGAAGCCCATTGTGATGAAACAAATAGGTCAATTCCTTTTTTGATAGCCTTCAGCTCTGCTAGGATAGTAGGAGAAGGACCGACACTTTCTGAAAACGAAAAAAGAATATCCCGATTCCAATCTCTGAGAATACCCCCTATTCCAGCATACATACCAACCGTACTAACAGCCCCATCCACGTTCAACTTAAAAAAATTCACTGGAGGAGGACTCCAACAAATCGCCTTCACTATTCATGCCTATTCTTGGAAACAGCTTTATAACTCAATTCTAGAGCTGCTATATTGTTTAAAAAAAGTCTTTTGATCCCTGGGAACCTGTAAGTTTGCATGCATATAGTGACTCTGGATGTTTCACAAATCTTGACTCGTGCTTCTTCGATCTTAAGCAAAATTTGGATCGTCATGAAAATTTCACATTACAATATACAGCACATATGTTCATTATCCATTTGTGATTGTATATTCGATTGGAGCAGGATATCCTCAACTTCGAGGAGTTTGTGAAACATTTAACAAACGAAGAGCAGCAGCTATTGTTTCAGTATCTACCTCCACTCGACATTGCCAAACTCCCCGATAGGTATCTCTTTTACACCTTTATCAACATGGGGAAATAACACCTTTCTAGTTCATGGTTTGTGCAAAATGGAATGCATTCACTAATGATAATTTTGTTTTTATTTCTATTTCAATAGTATCTGAAGCATATATAGTTGAAATCGGATAATTCCGGAAAAGAAAAAGGGAAAAAATCAGTAATGTAAGTTTCTAATGGGACGATCACTAGTAGAAACATGATCTGGAATCACTGATGGTTGTCCTTGCACCTGCAGCCTCGAAAGCATGTTTGAAAGCCCTCAATTCAAGGATAACCTCTGTTACTTCCAGCAACTGCTTGAGGAAGGCGTCTTTAATATCTCTGTCCCGGGGGTGAAAGCCGAAGATTGTAAGACTTTGAAGAGACTTGCATTATTTAATTTGACGAAATCACAATGGGTGGAACGCAGTCATGTACTTAAGGTTTGAATTGGTTCATGAACTTGTTGACAATGAACTTACTTTGCTCACTATGCCTAAGCATATTTGCATTTCTCAGCTGCAGAGATGTAAAAGTAGTATTAAAGGGCCTGTGATTGCTAGAGGACCAACTGCCGTTACATCGAACAATTCGGCGATTATGAAGAGATCACGTGACTGCCAAAGCCAAAATTTTCCAGGTTTAGATATTTTCTCTGCTGCTATTATTTGCACAAGATAAATCAATTAATAATCTTGTGAGCTGTTGTGATTGTTAACATGGTTTTTTTTCATTTTCAGAAGCAAGTTCCTTAAAGTTCCCTAAAAAGGTATTCATGAAGGCTACTTATGAAAACAAAGAAGCCATAGACGACGATGGTTCATGCTTTAGTCCGAGAAGCCTCTTCGCTTTGCCTCCTATTGGTGGCTCTCTCGTGATGGATTCTCTGCATTTCGTCGATGAAAGTTCCGACCAAGATTTGCTTCTGGATGTGCCACCCAATGGCTCATTCCCACAGGCGGAACTGCTTCATCCTACCTTAAGTTTCGGGCAACAGGCAAGCACTAGTAGTAGCTCAGCACGTTCACATCTTGTGAATCCATATTAGCAAGAGATCCCATGACCAGGGTCTACATATTTTGCATGTCAAACACCAAAGACTGTGATTTAGGTTTGATGGTTGCTCTTTTATGCCTTTCCGTAACTTCGAATGTTCAGGTGGGTTTCTTTTTTCGTATAGGTCGACAACATAATGTAATATATACCCAAAAAAAATGCAAAGAGATGGTAATCTTCGGAGTTTTTGGATATACAGACATTTTATATACTCCATGATCACTTTAGAATGTGAATTATCCATGAAATCAAAGGAAGATTTTAATATATATATATATATATATATATATATATATATGTAGGGATGATTTGGTGGGTTAAGGCAGGGAAGATTTTGCTTTACGAATCCGGAATGACCTACAAAAGTTGGTACCTATCCTTTGGTATGACTTTTGAGCTAATGAAAATGAAGAATGGATTATGAATCAAATTTTAAAAAAATAGGAAGTTCAGGGATTTGATGTTGCTCTACCCTGTTTTGTAAGAAAAAAGGATTTATTTTTATTAACCCTGAAAATGTTTCTTTAATCATTGTGATGCACATACTCGCTATTTACCAAGGTTTGCGCAGTCATTGTTATTCATAATCGGGCTTTAATGTCGAATGCCCTACACCATACGATCGACTCTTCTTCAACATGAAGTTGACAACTTCATAAAAGAAACATCATCACCAAATTATCATCAGTACTTGTAATCTACACTTTCTATAGATCAAACAAAATTTGAATCTAAAATTATTTTTGGAAGAGACGAATCAACTGCGAAGGATCTCGAACATAAGAATTCCTTCGAACACATAAAAATATGAAATCTGAAGTCAAGACTTCGATTCTCACAAATCCGAGCGGTGGAACTTGTGGTGGAGGCCAAAACTCTCACATATGATAACTAAATTGATGTAACGGTTTTCATATATTTATTACCTCATCAGCTGTCTCATGATCTCCGGTTAGCCCGCCAAGGCAACTGAGTTTCATCGACCTCCACTTCTTCTGCAGTTTCCATCAACATGTCCATTCCGGTTCTCTATGTTTCCTTTTTCAGTTTCACATTCGACCAGGGCCATGGCTGGCCCGGCGCAAACTGCGTGACCGCGCAGGCCTCCCAAAAAAGCCCCAAAAAATTATATATATAGTGACGTTTTTCTAATAAATGCCACTATAAATGGACTTATTGCGGCGTTTTAATGAGTAAATTTCTAAATGTAAGTTTAGCAATCAAACCGAAAGCTGTTTAGACAGGACCATGGAGTTTCCAAATGTAAGTTTGGTGTATAATTAGAATCCTTAACTAAGTAGATTATTTTCTTACCAACTCTGTTTTCACATTCTTAACTTCCTTTCTTGCAAGGTCAACATCTGTTGCCTGACCTTGAAATCTAGCAATTGGCTGCAGAGTGATAGAGGGAAAAGTAAAGAATATTAAACATTTATGTCAACTGCATCCAACATATTTGAAGAAATTGATAGTTTAGAGCATCGGAGATCCACTGTCTGACAACCAACCTGTCTTATCATTATTGTAGATGAAGGAAGAGCAGAACGATTTCCTGTTGCACCAGCAGCTAAAAGAAATGCAGCTTCACCCCATGCATTTCCAACACAGAGAGTAAAAATAGGAGGCTTAACATACCTGCAGCAAAAGAAAGTATCCACAAACACAATAATTAATGCTAGGAACGACAAGGATGTACAGTGGTTTGTAGAATGTTATACATTCAAAAATGCTCGAAGCTTAAGGTAGGTAGTATCTACTTGGTTTCTAGAAAGAAGAAAATCCACAAGTAGCTGGCGCTCATCACGACTGAAAGCAAATACTGCAATAGAAATGTGGAAGGTAAAAAAGACCTTATCATCATTCACAAAGAATGATGCATTCACAATTTATCAGTAGTAGATGCAGCTGGGGTTTGACATTGAAACTACCACACCGAATCCAAGAAGATAATTCAGATCATTCAAGCACCTAATAAATGCATACTTTGTGCAGCTCATGAAACAAGCCAATTATGAAATACCTCGCAAGTTAAAAAGCAAAAAGTGTGATTACCCCATAACATCATAAATTGCAAAGGCCTCAGTCTCATAACCTAGCTTCTCACCACCCTGAAAGTAGTGAAAAATCCTATTAGTAATGTTAGAAAAAAGGGAGCAAATAAATGCAACAATTTAGTATCTTAACAATGCAAAAGAAAATCTAAACATAACTTTGCACTTCTTGGCATTCATTTAGAATCCAATGCCAATAATCACGGAAAATACTACATTGGTTGTTCCTGTAACAAAATCATACCTTGGTTGTTCCAGTGGAGTTTATGTACAAGTAAATAGGCTTCTGCTCATCTTCATATTGAAGGTAAAGATACTCAGCCAGTATCAACTCTGTGACAGAAGGAACCAGCGACATTCCCAAGTAAACAATCCGATTCTTGTATAAATACGATGCCAAATCCGGTGGAGGTTGCTCCCATGCACTTCCCCTCGAAAACGGAATAACCAATCCACAAAATTCCAGGAAAACACAAAACAAATGAATTTATTCAATTGCACTCAACTGTCATATAATACTCGAAATTAAAATAATAACTCAAACTAGTATTAATGATAATTTTCAGAATTCTCATAAAATAAAAATTGCCTACTTCACTACCAATAAACATCCCCAAAGGAAATTTAGATGAAATTAAAATGATTTGGAAGTACCATGGTGACGACTCCACGTCTGGGCTTGGACCGGGAGAGAGAGGCTGGGTTGAGAGCGTCGGGTCGTAGCTTGAATCCGAAGAAATCTCCGGCGACGCTGCCACGGCGGGAAAGGGAGAGAGGAAGTTGGTGGAGAGAGAAGCTCGGAGGGAAGTCGAAGTAGGAGACGTTAGGGTTCGGTTAGGGTTTACGATTCGTGCGGCTGTTGGTGGTGACAACATGTGCGCCTGGACGGCAAAGTCCATTGAGGGCTATAGTGCTTCGGGAGAACAGAACAGTGTTTTGGATGAGTGTGTGAGAGAAGTTAGAGAATGATATCGGATCAAATCCGATACGGAATCCGGAAAAGGTTCGAGTTAGCCCGAAACGTTTTTTCTTTTTTCTTCCCTTCAGTTTTTTTTTCATGGTAAAACGTTGTCGTCTAGTAGGGAGTCTTTCAACTTTTGTGGCCTCCGTTGTTACTTTTGGCAATTAAAATTTGCGATTTACGGAACGTAAAATTATAGTATAAATAACAAAATTATCAGAAAATAAGATTATTAAGAATATTGTATTTTGTGTTTGATTTAATAAAAAAGTAATATTATCGTGTTTGGTTAAATAAATAAAAAATTATTAAAATGTATATTTTACAAAATTATCCTTATTATATATTTATTTTTTAACAAGTTGAATTCTACTATAATTTTACTATAATTAATTTATATATTTTTCTTTAAATATTTTAAATTCATAAAATTTATATAATATTTTTACAAAATTGAAAAGATAAATAAATTCAATGAAATGATAAAATTTTATTTTAACCCCTGAACTTCATATAAAATTATAATTATGGAATTTTTTTTGTAAATCTAAAATAGTTTAAAGATAAATTTGTAATTTAACCTTCATAAAATTTTTATTATTCAACGACAGAAGAAGGATAATTTTGAAAAGAAAAAAAATTAAGGACATTTTAGTCCAACAATACCTAAGGAAAGAGGGTAATCACATTCCCGATAATATACCACAGAAAAACTGTTGGTAATAAAAGATTACCGGGAATAAGATTACCAACCAACCAAACAGGAGAATAAGGATTTTATTCCCCAAGTAATGTTGTATGCCGTGAACCAAACGGCCCATTAATACCATTGGATTAGTTAGAGTGAAAATTAATTTAGATCGTTTAAATATATTTTGAGCTTGAATCTTTATGTATGTAGAAAATTCTCATTAAAAATAGAGAAAATAACCTCAGTGACCAAAAATCCCATATAATATATGATTTTAACCAACTTTTTTTTCATTTTCCAAAATGACCAACAAAATCGCAATGCGATCGCTAATTCGCAACGCGATCTCCATTATCGCAAATTCGCGTTGCATTTCGCGTTGCGATAGTTGGAAATCGCGTTGCGATGGTATACAATGTCGTTGCGATTTTCCCAATTCGCAATGCGAATAAGTAAATCGCAACGCGAATTGGGAAAATCGCAATGCGATATTGACTATCGCAATGCGATACTTACTATCGCAATGCGATAATACAAAATCGCAACGAGATACTGACTTTCGCAACGCGATTCTGACTTTCGCAACGCGATTTACATAGCGCCATTCGTATTAACGCGTATTTTTTTTTCAAATTCCAAACACGAATTTTTTCTTAATAAATCGGAAACTGAATCGTCCACAGTAATCGCAACTCATAACCTCAAACCCAAAAACACAACACTCAGTCCCATCTCCATCTCTCACTCTCTACGGCGAAATCCGTCCCCATCTCCGAAGATTTCTGTCCCCATCGCCGGCGAAATCCCTCACAACCATTCACAGTCAAAAATCCCTCACAATCATTTAGAAATGGAAAATCAACCTCCGAGGGTTAGTTTTTTTTATTTTTATTTTGAAATTTTTGCATTATTTTAGGTTTTTCATATTGAGATTGATGATAAGTTTACTGGTAATTTCAATAATAGATTAACCATTTCACTTAGATTTCTTATTAAATTCATTCGATTGCTGCCAATACTGCTAAACTGTTTAGCCTGTGAAGTTAGTATTTATCTTGCTCTGTCTTTTGGTTGAAGTAATGCAGAAGAATAGTTTCGAGAATGAAAATCGCAACGCGGAAATAACTATCGCAACGAGATAATCGCAACGCGAAACCAAAATCGCATTGCGATTTTCATTTCGCGTTGCGATTTTCATTTCGCGTTGCGATTTTTATTTCGCGGTTGCGATTTTCATTTCGCGTTGCGATTGTCTGATCGCGATAGTCATTTCGCGTTGCGATTCTCTCGTTGCGATAGTCATTTTCGCGTTGCGATTCTCATTATCTCGTTGCGATTTTTATTTCAACCAAAAGATAAAAACAGTGTTGCAAATTTTAGTTTCAAGAATAAACTACTATTTATGTTTATTGTTTTGTTTTTGGTATATCTTGACAGTGTAATTTTTGGTATATCTAACTTGGTATGTTTATTGTTTTTTTGTAGAAATTTTTTTCGGCTTCATTGACATTAAGGAATAAAGTTAGCCTAGCCACTACAATTGCTTCGAAGCTTTCACCTGCACAAAGAAAATTGTTTGAAGAAACCTGCTTCGGGCCATGGCTGAGAGTACAACATCCGGGTGGAGATGCTAGTTTGACCCATTTGTGGCTTCAGACTATGACTAGCGATCTACCCGACAGTATACAACGTGATGAGGAAGAGATATGGTTTCATTTTCCACCGGCGTATACTTGTTTTGGGCGGAAGGAGTTCTGCTTAATCACTGGTCTACGATTCGGACACGATGATGTAGGCCGGTACACTCGTCATATCACCCGCCCATCATGGTTATCCAGGGTTTTTCCTGATGAGTCAATAGAGAAGCCGAACTTACACGTCGACGATATGAAGAAATTGTTAATAAGAAAGATGGTTTTACTCGGATGAATGACGTCGATGTTGTCCGAGTATGCCTTCTACTACTTTTGTATGCCGGCTTTTTAGGCAGAGAGGCCAGACAACCTATTCCTCAGGAGCTAATATTATTAGTAGAGGACCTAAATGCATGGAATCTGTTTCCGTGGGGTTCGTATATATGGAAAGCTACCTGGACTAAGTTGTCGTCTGCCTTTGATGACCGCAAAAGTTTGCGGGGCGATGGGTCGAAATACACTTTGTCAGGCTTTGTTTGGTCCTTTAAGGTAAGAATTTCTATATAATGTTTTCAAAATTATAATTAATTATTTAACAATTACTAATGTTTGTTATTATATTGTTTGTAGATTTGGATATTCGAGGCTTTCCCCAGCATGCTGACATATGCATTAAAATCCTCAGATGATATTCCTAGGGCTATTTCCTGGAAGAGGAAACGTATGTTGGATTGGGAAGACTTAATACCATATGCGACAATAAATAATGTAAGTTAACACAAATACTATCATATATAAACAAGTTATTAATAGTAGACGTTTAACTTTGTTTTAGTTTTTATATTTTTAGGAGGCCAACACTCCATTAATGAGACTGACACCCACGGAGGCTGAGCTTGCCACTGATTGGTGGCAAGCTAGTCAGCGTTTTTTTGATGGCACGAATGATGAGCAGCCTCCACTTCCTCCACTTCGAGAGCCATCACCTCACCCAGAGCCATCACCTGATTGACCCGACTATACACCTCTACAACGAGAGCCATCACCTATCCCGTCACATCATCGAGTCTCTTCTCCACCATCACCTCATGATAGGCGACCGACAAAGGTGCCACGACTTCTATCTCCCTGTTCTCCACCTCCACGGGATGAGTCAAGGGAGTTACATGATGAGGTCAATGTCTTGCGTGAGGAGATCGGTACTCTACGCGATAACGATGGTGCATGGCGTGTAGAGGTGTCTACTTTACGTGGTGAGGTTGCCGCTCTACGTGAGATGGTAGTATCGTTGTAGAATGAGGTTCATACTCTACACAACGAGGTAAGTTTAAGATTTTCCATATTTAACTTGATGATAAATTTACTCGTAATCTCACTTAAATTAACCATTTCACTTAGATTGCTTAGTAAATTTATTCGGTTGCTGCCAAAACTGCTAAACTTTTTACTTTAACACTGTGAAGTTAGTATTTGTCTTTGTTTTGTCTTTTGGTTGAAAGTTTGAAATATATTTATCTTTGTTTTCACTGTTTAAATATCATGTCTGTTTATTTACTGATATTTGTATTTTTATTTAGCGGACCGATAAGGTGGATGCTTTACGTCGGGTTTTTCTTGCACGACAGAGTTCACGCATCAGACGGCGTGCACATGCTATTAAGTCTCCGTATACCCCAATAGTGCGAAGACACCGCAAGAAGAAGCCCGACTCGCCTATCATCCCTCAAGAGTCCACTCCTATCGTTGAAGAGGCCCCTATCATTCCTCGAGAGTCCCCTCCCACCGTTCAAGAGGCCACTGTCATCGTTGAAGAGGTCCCTCCCACCATTCAAGAGCCCGATTCACATGGCGTCATATGTAGGATTCTTGAGAAACCCTCTGACGTGTCGGACATGATGGATTCAAGTTGGCTCTCGTATGAGTTACCGGCCAGTACCATACCGGTATCTGAAGAGGAGAGGAAACAAATACCGGACACAATTCTGGATAACACCCTTTGGGCTAAGACCGCAGTTGATTTTTATCTACATGAGCGAAGCCAGGGGTGTTTCACTGACATATGCAAGCTCAATGATGATATCTATTTGTTGCTTGATTGGTCTTGGTGGGGCGTATTATTAGGGGTCGAAGACAATGGCTATTTCGATGGAGGGGTAAGTCTTATATTTTTCTTATATTTTCATTTGATTATTTTTTTTGTAAATTTATGTAAGTTACTAATATATGTCTTTTTTTGTAAAACAGCATATCGATGCGTGGGTGTCACGTCTTCTAATAATTAGGAAACTTAAGGAAAATAAAATAAATACACGGTATACAATTATGCCGACGTCTTTTAATGCCGTTCACTTGAAGAATCAACGAGATGAATCATTTGCGTTGGGCAATGGACAAGCTAAACTTTATCCTGCATGGTGGGAGGTCGATAAGGTTAGTGTTTATTTTAGATTGAGTTTAAAGGTATTCATAAATAAGTGCGCAAATGAATGAATTATTACTTATGATTGCAGGTGTTTATCCCTGTTTTGGAACGTAACCATT